CATGAACAGTTTAACAGTGATATTTCCATAGTATCTAGAAAAATTCAACACTCCTTAAAAATGTTGTCTTCTGGTGACAGAAGGCGTTTAGAAAGGAAAAGTAGTTATGAGCTAAGATTATCAACATTTCATGTTTGTGTTGCCATTAAAAAGCAACATTTATCCATATTTACACACATAGCTATGGTGTGGGAGATCTTTCTACTTCTTTTTCTAGGAATAAGGACATGTATACCTACTACCCTCATTCTCTGCAGAGGTTAAAAGGTTAGGGGGCATAAGGGAGAAATGCCAGACTTGCTCCTCTCTGTCTTAGGTAAGTAGCCATCCCCACCAGTTTCAGCTCCTCCTAGGAGGAAACTCTCATTGCCACAGCCAATGTTTCAAGCAACTTTAATCCCTGATTGCATCAGATACTAATCAATAACTGAGTAAATACTGACTTAAATTAAAAATCATTTTCTTAAAATATTTGGTTATTAGCCACAATTTAAAAAAAAAATGGATTATGGCCATAGCTCACTGGGAACAGTTTTGTTTTACCAACACTACAGTGAACCCGCTGGCTCATTACTGCATAACCCCCATATTTAACTGGAGGGAAAAGATTGAGCCACAGGTAATTTTAGAAAGGTAAACATCTAGTTCAGAATCTAGCCAACAGATATTTAGTAAACCTGGAAGACACTTCTCTCCCCCCCCCCCCAAAAGGGTACAGGGGATCAGACAGATATCCAGAAGATTACATAGGAGCATATACAACAGACTGTGGGAGCAGCTTGAAAGCGGGTTGCACAAGGAAGACCACACAGCAGAAGAGCAAACTTAACTGGACATAACAGAACTAAGCTCTGGCCAGTGTAAGCTACACTGTGCCTACAGTAGTTATAACCTCTCCTTTCTGCCACCCCTACTAAAAGGCCACAGAATTTAATCAAATACTTCCTGCATCAAACCCATAAACTCTAGAGGAGTTCAAGCTTCACAGACCCTGGACTTCAGAAAACCAGACTTTGACTCCCTCAGGGAACTGATGGGCAGGATCCCTTGGGAGAATAACATGGGGGGGAAAGGAGTCCAGGAGAGCTGGCTGTATTTTAAAGAATCCTTATGGAGGTTACAGGGACAAACCATCCCGATGTGTAGAAAGCATAGTAAATATGGCAGGCAACCAGCTTGGCTTAACAGTGAAATCCTTGCTGATCTTAAGCACAAAAAGGAAGCTTAGACAAATGACCAGGGAAGAGTATAAAAATATTACTCAGGCATGCAGGAGTGAAATCAGGAAGGCCAAATCACACATGGAGTTGCAGCTAGCAAGAGATGTTAAGAACAACAAGAAGGGTTTCTTCAGGTATGTTAGCAACAAGAAGAAAGTCAAGGAAAGTGTGGGCTCCTTGCTGAATGAGGGAGGCAACCTAATGACAGAGGATGTGGAAAAAGCTAATGTACTCAATGCTTTTGTTTGCCTCTGTCTTCAAGAACAAGGTCAGCTCCCCGGCTACTGCACTGGGCAGCACAGCAAGGGGAGGAGGTGACCAGCCCTCTGTGGAGAAAGAAGTCGTTCGGGACTATTTAGAAAAGTTGGACGAGCACAACTCCATGGGGCCGGATGCGCTGCATCTGAGAGCGCTAAAGGAGTTGGCGGATGTGATTGCAGAGTCATTGGCCATTATCTTTGAAAACTCATGGCGATTGGGGGAAGTCCTGGACAACTGCAAAAAGGCTAATGTAGTGCCCATTTTTAAAAAAAGGGAAGGAGGAGGATCCTGGGAACTACAGGCCAGTCAGCCTCACCTCAGTCCCTGGAAAAATCATGGAGCAGGTCCTCAAGGAATTCTGAAGCACTTAGAGGAGAGGAAAGTGATCAGAAACAGTCCGCATGGATTCACCAAGGGCAAGTCCTGGGGCCGGTTTTGTTCAATATCTTCATAAATGATCTGGAGGATGGTATGGATTGCACTCTCAGCAAATTTGCTGATACTAAACTGGGAGGAGTGGTAGATACGCTGGAGGGCAGGGATAGGATACAGAAAGACCTAGACAAATTGGAGGATTGGGCCAAAAGAAATCTGATGAGGTTCAATAAGGATAAGTGTAGGGTCCTGCCCTTAGGACGGAAGAACCCAATGCACAGCTACAGACTAGGGACTGAATGGCTAGGCAGCAGTTCTGCGGAAAAAGACCTAGGGGTGACAGTGGATGAGAAGCTGGATATGAGTCAGCAGTGTGCCCTTGTTGCCAAGAAGGCCAATGGCATTTTGGGATGTATAAGTAGAGGCATAGTGAGCAGATCGAGGGACGTGATCATTCCCCTCTATTCGACATTGGTGAGGCCTCATCTGGAGTACTGTGTCCAGTTTTGGGCCCCACACTACAAGAAGGATGTGGATAAATTGGAGAGAGTCCAGCGAAGGGCAACAAAAATGATTAGAGGACTGGAACACATGACTTATGAGGAGAGGCTGAGGGCACTGGGATCGTTTAGTCTGCGGAAGAGAAGAATGAGGCGGGATTTGATAGCTGCTTTCAACTACCTGAAAGGGAATTCCAAAGAGGATGGATCTAGACTGTTCTCAGTGGTAGAAGAGGACAGGACAAGGAGTAATGGTCTCAAGTTGCAGTGGGGGAGGTTTAGGTTGGATATTAGGAAAAACTTTTTCACTAGGAGGGTGGTGAAACACTGGAATGCGTTACCTAGGGAGGTGGTTGAATCTCCTTCCTTAGAAGTTTTTAAGGTCAGGCTTGACAAAGCCCTGGCTGGGATGCTTTAGTTGGGGATTGGTCCGGCTTTGAGCAGGGGGTTGGACTAGATGACCTCCTGAGGTCCCTTCCAACTCTGATATTCTATGATTCACTCTTGACTTGCAGACTTCAAGGAGACTGAAAGCTAAGTTAGTTAAGTTATTTCAATGGCTAGTTACCCACACAAACATTTTCCATCTTATTTCTAGCCTGAATTTGTCACCTCTTCGCAGTCTCTTAAATCAGCTAAATAGATTTACAGTGAAACTAATTAAGCTCAAGCAGGTTTTCCAAACTCCAAATTATGATTGTAGCTCTTTTCTGCATTTCTTCCAATTGGTCACTATCGTTTTTGGTGTACACACATCAGAACTGGACTCAGTACTTCAGTGATATTTCTCACTAGGTCTGTATACAGTGGTAATATCTACATCTACTTGATATTCTGTCTATCCATCCAAGGATCACTTTTTAGGGTTCATCCTGTGAAGATACCATACACAGAGTTAAAGAAACTGAATGCTCCATCATACTTTAGAAACATTTAAATACTACTTAGTGAAAGAACCTGCCATGGCACATAAACTAAGTACTGTATATACTAAGGTCAAGGTTCCTTCCCCACTCTGAACTCTAGGGTACAGATGTGGGGACCTGCATGAAAACCTCCTAAGCTTACTTTTACCAGTTTAGGTTAAAACTTCCCCAAGGTACAAACTATTTTATCCTTTGCCCTTGGACTTCCACTGCCACCACGAAACGTTTATCTGTGTTTATTTATTAGGGAAGTGTTGTTTGGAAACGTCTTTTCACCCAAAATCCTCCCAACCCTTGCACCCCACTTCCTGGGGAAGGTTTCGTAAAAATCCTCACCAATTTGCATAGGTGACCACAGACCCAAACCCTTGGATCTTAAGAACAATGAAAAAGCAATCCGTTTCTGAAAAGTAGGATTTTAATAGAAGTAAAAAGTAAAAAAGAAATCACCTCTGTAAAATCAGGATGATAAATATCTTACAGGGTAATTAGATTCAAAACAGAGAATCCCTCTAGGCAAAACCTTAAGTTACAAAAAGACACAGACAGGAATATCCATTCCTTTCAGCACAGGTTATTTCCTCAGCCATTTAAAGAAATCATAATCTAACACATATCTAGCTAGATTACTTACTAAGTTCTAAGACTCCATTCCTGTTGTGTCCCCGCAAAAGCATCACCCAGACAGACAGACCCTTTGTTTTCCCCCCCCCTCCAGCTTTGAAAGTATCTTCTCTCCTCATTGGTCATTTTGGTCAGGTGCCAGCGAGGTTATCCTAGCTTCTTAACCCTTTACAGGTGAAAGGGTTTTTCCTCTGGCCAGGAGGGATTTTAAAGGTGTTTACCCTTCCCTTTATATTTATGGCAACTAATTATTAAAGATGAAAAACAGGACATGGAATAATGTTTTAACTTCTGCAGAACACTATTATTTATGGGAAAGAAAAGAATTTCTTATTCCCTTACTTGAGTAATGTATTATATCTCTCTCAAACTAAAGCCAATAAAGCCTTTACACCGAAGACAAGTATATATGTACATAAGCATGAGCCCACACTGAACTATTAGATCCCAATTCAGAAAGCATTTATGCACAGGCATAACTCTTAGCCCACCATGCACACGACTTCCTGAATTAGGGTCTTAATGTACAAATTAATTTCACAGGTTTAAAAAGGAAATCAAAGTTTAGCTAGTCTCATTATATGGCCTGTGGTGTATATTATGATGTAAACTTATAACTAATTATAAGCATATTTCAGACAACTATATTAAGATTCAAGATTGCACAAAGTCAGAAAAATCCAAGTTAAAGCTGCATGCATAACTTCAATTCTGCCTCCTACGTGTATGCAACAAAATACAATAGGCAACATGAAAAAGCTGGATAGTTTTCCTCAACTATAAAAATGGATTCAAATATTTAAGATACATCCCTGAAAATCTTCAGTATGAGAGTCTCTCCCCCACTTAGATCTGTATATTATGAAGAATTTTTAAAAAAATGAACAGAAAAAAATAAAAAATAAAATAAAAGATCAATTGTGGGTCTGATGTTACCATAACCTACCCTAGCTTTGCTCTGGTGATTCAGGATATTAGAATCTTTATAGGGATTTTTTCTTATGATGCTATTTTTCACTTTACCTTTTCAGTTATTTATTAATCTAATTTTTTCCTTTACCTTCACTTCAATACAAACGCATGTATATACTTACCCAATTAGAAGAAGAACTGCGCAAACCATGAGGAATCCCAGAGTATACTTGAGTGCAGTTTGAACATGCTGTATTTTAAATTAAACAAAGTTGTAATATATTTAATATTTGATTTTTTTAGAACATCTGCATATTTTAATCAATAAATCACAGGATAGAATATTTAGTGGGACATGCGGTCTATAAAAATATTACTGTTTAACTAAAACGGATTTTGTTTCAAGAATGCAAATTTCTGCCTTAGATCTAAAAAGTTGTATAGTTTGATGTTAAGAGGTAATAACCATATGAAATTAAGATCTATTACACAGTATAAGCTTGGGCAACCTGCTCTGGCCAGATGTCACTCCTTTAAATCCTCTTGAACATCTGTCTTGGGTGTGTTATTCAATAGAGAAAAAGGCACTATACTAATAGACTAATAAGAACTATGCTGCTGGTACTATGAGGTAGAGTGACAAATACAAGCATGTATCTGCAACATGCCCTAATCTGAACTCCGTAGTACTGCTATGGTGAGTTTGAGTGACATTTTCATTAGAATGAACTATTCTCTTAATGTGGCATTTGGAATAAATTCTAGTTTCAGGAGACCACTGCTGCTTATTTTCATTTAATGGCACTCTTTTGTAACATGGCCACCCCAGAGACTAGTTACTCCTCCTAAGGAGGAGCAGGTTTTCTGACTATATGACCTCAAAGCCATTTTTGCCATTCTTCTTTTACTTCAGAGCCCAGTTACGATCAGCACTTCAGGAAAGAATACCTGACTGTTATAGGGTGCAGTATTTATACCCTGAGTGTAAGGAAGGTTGGGATCAAGAGACTTGTTCCTTCTGCCTGACATTCTGCTAAAATGTGACTCCTACAATTGAGCATATCATGGATAATTAACATTAAGCTAAGTATTAGTTATCAAGGGCTCCATGTCTAGTTGGCAGCTGGTAACAAGCGGAGTGCCCAAAGGGTTGGTCCTGGGGCCAGTTTTGTTCAATATCTTCATTAATGATCTGAAGGATGGCATGGATTGCACCCTCAGCAAGTTAGCAGAGGACACTAAACTGGGAGGAGTGGTAGATACGCTGGAGGGTAGGGATAAGATACAAAGGGACCTAGACAAATCAGAGGATTGGGCCAAAAGAAATCTCGTGACGTTCATCAAGGACAAGTGCAGAGTCCTGCATTTAGGATGGAAGAACCTCATGCACTGCTACAGACTAGGGACCGAGTGGCTAGGCAGCAGTTCTGCAGAAAAGGACCTAGGTGTTACATCCAGCTTCTCGTCCACTGTAAGTCAACAGTGTGCCCTTGTTGCCATGAAGGCCAATGGCAGTTCGGGCTGTATAAGTAGGAGCATTGCCAGCAGATCGAGGGACATGATCCTTCCCTTCTATTCAGCATTGGTGAGGCCTTACTGTACTGTGTACAGTTTTGGGCCCCACGCTACAAAAAGGATGTAGAAAAATTGGGAAGTGTCCAGTGGAGGGCATTAGGGGGCTGGAGCACATGATTTATGAGGAGAGGCTGAGGGAACTGGGATTGTTTAGTTTGCAGAATAGAAGAACGAGGGGGAATTTGACAGCTGCTTTCAACTACCTGAAAGGGGGTTCCAAAGAGGATGGATCTAGACTGTTCTCAATGGTACCGGATCACAGAACAAGGAGTAATGGTCTCAAGTTTCAGTCGGGAAGGTTTAGGTTGGATATTAGGAAAAACTTTTTCAGTAGGAGGGTGGTGAAGCACTGGAATGGGTTACCTAGGAAGGTGGTGGAATCTCCTTCCTTAGACGTTTTTGAGGTCAGGCTTGACAAAGCCCTGGCTGGGATGCTTTAGTTGGGGATTGATCCCCGCTTTGAGCAGGGGGTTGGACTAGAGGACCTCCTGAGGTCCCTTCCAACCCTGATATTCTATGTTTAATATTGCAACTCAAATGGACTCCTTAATTTAGCATATTTTTAAAGAAGTCTACTATGTGAATTAAAACAGAAGTAACCATCAACTTCTTCAAATTAAAGACTTGAAAGTTTACAACAATGTCAGTGTAAGTTTTATTTTTAGGGCTGTCAATTAATAGCAATTAACTCACGTAATTAACTCAAAAAAATTAATGGTGATTAATTGCAGTGTTAAATACCACAATATCAATTGAAATTTATTAAATATTTTTGGATGTTTTCCCACATTTTCAAATATATTGATTTCTATTATAACGCAGGATACAGTGTACAGTGCTCACTTTATATTATTTGTTATGACAAATGTGCACTGTAAAAATGATAACAGTATTTTTCAACACACCTCATGCAAGTACGATACAGAGATTGTATTATTGTCGAAGTAACTTATAAACGTAGATTTTTGTTGGTACATAACTGCACTCAAAAACAAAACAGTGTAAAACTTTAGCCTACAAGTCCACTCAGTCCTACTTCTTGTTCAGCCAATCGCTAAGACAAACAAGTTTGTTTACACTTATGGGAGATACTGTTGCCTGCTTCTTATTTACAGTGTCACCTGAAAGTCAGAACAGGCATTCGCATGGCACTTTTTTAGCCAGCACTGTAAGGTATTTACATGCCAGCTATGCTAAACATTCGTATGCCCCTTCATGCTTCAGCCACCATTCCAGAGGACATGCTTCCATGCTGATGCTCGTTAAAAAAAAATGCATTAATAAATTTGTGACAGTTCTCCAAGGAGTTCAGTATGTCTCCTGCTCTGTTTTACCTGCATTCTGCCATATGTTTCATGTTACAGCAGTCTTGGATGATGATCTAGCACTTGTTTGTTTTAAGAACACTTTCACAGCAGATTTGACAAAACTGAAAGAAGGTACCATGTGAGATTTCTAAAAATAGCTACTGCACTCAACCCAAGGTTTAAGAATCTGAAGTGCCGTCCAAAATCTGAGTGGGACGAGGCATATAGCATGCTTTCAGCAGTCTTAAAGAAGAGCAACACTCTGATGCGGAAACTACAGAACCTGAATCACCAAAAAAAGAAAATCAACCTTCTACTGGTGTCACCTGACTCAGTTGATGAAAATGAACACACGTCAGTCCACTCTGCTTTGGATCATAATCGAGCAGAACCCATCATCACCATGGACTTACGTCCTCTGGAATGGTGTTGAAGCATGAAGGGACATACCAATCTTTTGCACATCTGGCACGTAAATATCTTGTGACACCGGCTATGACAGTGCCATCCGAATGCTTGTTCTCGCTTTCAGGTGATGTAAACAAAAAGCGGGCAGCATTATCTTCTGCCAGTTATAACCAAACTTGTTTGTCTGAGCAACTGGCTGAAGTAGGACTGAATGGACTTGTAGGCGCTAAAGTTTTACACTGTTTTGTTTTTAAATGAAGTAATTTTTTGTACACAATTCTACATTTGTAAATTCAACTGTCATGATAAAAAGAGATTACACTATTTATAATGGGGGAATTGAAAAATACCATCTTTTTTTTTTACAGTGCTAATATTAGTAATAAAAAATAAACAGAAAGTGAACACTGTACACTGTATTCTGTGTTTTAATTGAAATCAATATATTTGAAAATGTAGAAAACAAATTTTTAAATAAATGATATTCTGTTCTTTAATGGCGCGATTAATTGCGATTACGTTTTTTAATCGCTTGACAGCCCTATTTATTTTGTTTAAAATTAAGATCAGAGACAACGGTTCAACAAAAGGCTACTCTGAACAGTTGAAGCAGAACAGCTGTTAGACTTCATTATTTGGCTACTGTATTCAGACCTTAAGAAACAAGTCCGCACTAGGTGTGGCATAAATCAGCTTACTGAGCATGTGCTGGTATCATCTTCATCCTTCTCCTCATAATAGAAATAGACAAAAGGAATCCACAAAAACACAGAGAACAATATGATGGAATACAAAGCTGAGGAGAGAAAAAAAGCAGAGAAAAAAATTAAATCCAAGTTGTGTTGGCTTACATTGTTACACCACAACAGCTAAAAATTAACTGGTAAAGTAATCAAAATGTCTTAGAATGTCACCATTTCCTCTCATCCCAACTAAAAAAAAAAAAGGTCATTCTGATAATTTACCTCTAGAAAAAGTGGGTTGAAATTGTAGTGAGTCTAGTCATTTGCTAGCCACATAAGACATTTATTACACATCAACCATTAAGATGAACCTGTCAGGTCTCAACAAGTCATAATAACTGGTAATGCAGGTTTTCAAATGGCATGCAATTATATGATCAAAATATCTGCAATTATTCCTACATATGTTGTCAGTCATGTGATCTTTAGAGCTATTACGTCCCAAGACTGTTTTTTTGTAGAAAAAACCCAAAACATCAGTTACTGAATATGTTTCACGTACAAATAAATCAGACTCCAACCATCAGTGCTTTTGAAAACTAGTATCCTATTGCCAATATGCTCTCAGGAGTTATTAGGGAGGGAGGGGATATAGGACAGAAAACGGCAATAGCCAGGACCTTTCCTTCCTCAAAACTTCAGACCACAAAAATATAATTCTGCAACTGAGACTGAGCCCTTCCATCACAGAGGGATGAGAAGAGGAAGAAAAGAAAAGCCACCAATAGCCAAAAAACTGAAATTAGTTGCTGGATCACTCCTTTGACACTTGGAGACAAGTGTGAGTGTGGCCCTCCTCTCATTGATGGGAAAGAATCAAATGATACCCTCTCCTCTCCATTCTGCCTCATACTTCACAGTTCTGAATAGCTGACACCCACATACTTCCAGTAGCCATAGTGACAGCAAGAATGAACGGACATGTGAAGGAAGAAGCACACAATATGCATAAGAGGAGGAGAGGGGGAACAGATTAGTCAGTTCTTTTACAAAGTGACAGGAAACAATATTAAGTTCATGAACTAATTAACATATTTACTTAAAGTCTTCAGAAAGTTGTCTTTCCTCAGATTACATGCTATAAACTTAGGGGAGGATGCTTGTTCTTATTAAAAGAAAATGAAAAATAACTTAAGAATTCAACACGCAAATCCTGTATGCACAAAATCCTCAATGCTATCTTAATGAAGTAATGACCAGCACCTTGATTAGAGTAAATCTTAGCATATTAGCACATCTGAATATAAAATGACAAAAAATTAAAGATAGGTCATTTAGGCTCATATTTAGGCTCACAGGTCATTTAGGCTCATAAATCACTCATATTATTCCTATACATTCTAAGAAATTTAAATCCAATTAACATGAAAAAAACAGAAATTAGTCTCAAGAAAATGCTTTGTCTGCGACAACAGAAATAGGCTGTTTGGTTACTGAAGAATGTTTTGGCTGTTCATCTTAAAAACACCACTTAATATAAATTAACTTGCAGTTTATTTATATAACGTTTTCTAAATTCATAAAAACACTTATTAGCTAACTAGGTACAGCTCACAATCACTAGACCATTCCCTTCTTCAAAAGCTGGAGGAAAACAAGTTAAATCTGAATAGTCCTAAAACCATGGGGTCTGGTGGTTATGGTAGTACTGGACAGCCACATGTAAAAGCAAGCCTAAGGACTAATTTCCAGGCAGGCCATCAGTGACTCTTGAGCAACAAGTTGACACATTCCCCTTAATGATGGTCAACAACAGATCTTTGATTTTGCCAGTCCTTGTATCAGAGAGGTAGGCTTTTCTCCAGACATGCTGAAGTAAGCCCCTATGTATGAGTACTCCTCAGAAAGCAATAGGCAATTCTTCTTCTACATAAATTATCCAGGTAAGTGCTGGGCATTAAGCACTTCTGATATAACAAGTTCCTTTAAAGGTGTATCAATTCAGTCACCCAAAATTATGTTTCCAAATTTAAGCAACTAAGTCTTGGATTCTACTTATGTATCACTGCTAGTATTGCCAGAAAGCTAGGTTGGAGGTCTAGAGATTAGTAAAATGTTCAAAAGGGCCTTGATCTTGAATTCCACAGACTAAGAGGATGGGTGGATTTAGTGTGAGAAAACCCTTCTTGCACTTGAGGCTAGATAAGAAATAAGGTTATTCAGTCCCTCATTTTGCCCCACTCTGGGATATACAGTAACCTAAAAAGAGGAAAGCTGAGGTGAGCCAGCATGGGTCCTATGCTGTCAAGCCAGATTTTAACTAGACATTCAAGGTCAGGGCCTAGGTTTGACATTACGATATGAAAGGCAATAATATTATTGATCACTTGTCTCATATCTACTCTAGTGAAGGCAGAATGTGATCCTTAGAACTTACATTCTGTGAAACTACTTACATCTTATTGGTTGTAATATAAATATCTGCAAAAGACTTAGTTCACTAACAAGTCCTTTGCACTAAGTAAAAATCAATCATCAGCATTTTTAATTTTACATCTTTGACCAAGGGATTTAAATAAATCTGTGAGGTCAAAGAATTTCTGCTGTGCTTTTATTGTATTTTTAGAATAATGGATGATACAACGTAATTAATTCCGGTGGTGTATTCAATATTTTAAAATACTGATTACTGCTGTATACTGAATTTCTCTTGACACATACTATTGTGATACTAGATCTTTTACTTCACTAAAAATGAGCTGGGACTGAGGAGACAAAGCACCTTTCAGCAGAAAAAAAGTTGCATGCCACTTAACAAAGGTATGCTTAAATTTAGTGCAAAGTGTAGAAGGCTGAACATAGCTACCTTAAGCAACACTTATTAAAAAAATGTTGCAAGAACTGCAAAAAGCTGCAGAATCTATGAGATTCAAGATCAAGGGTGTTAAAACCAAAGCATGTGCACCTCTTATATAATGGAAACAAAACCTGCCTATCTATCTGGGTAGTCAGAGAACAGGAGGTTCTCTATCTGAAGAAATCACACATTGGATCAGACTTTCATCAATGACAATTCAGCGTCTTCAAAGGCCTCTGCTGGGCAGGGTCAGGATATCTTTATGACAACTGAAATAAAATGTGACCAGTGCAGTAATCATGATTGCTAGATGGTTCAGAAACGTGGCCCTTGCACAACTAAACTTTTCAGTGTCAAAACTTATGGCACATTCTTAACATCTGTTGGTTTGATTGAGGAAATACTTAGACCATTCTGGCAAGCTGCAGTATTGCACCAGCAGAGAAAAAGGTGAGTGTAATGGAGGGGTCATGTCCAAAGCACAAAGGTGGTACACTTTTATAGGTTTACAAAGCTGAGGTCAAAACTAAATATGAAGGAGGTTGGAAGATTCAATTGAGGGATTTAAGAGCCTAAACACTCTCATATTAAGTCTTGCAGAAGCAAGATGACTTGCAAGGGACCATTCAAGATGGATGTCCATTCTATGTGCCGAAACAGCTACACCATAGCCATGTGAATCTTCTGTTACTGCCTACATTTAATGAGAAAACAATACCCATCATACATACTATTTCAATAATCAACAATTTAATCACAATAATCCTACTTCGTTAGTTGAATAAGTAAAAGTGTGGTGATTGAGTTAACAAGCTTTGATATCAAGCTAGGCAAAAGAAGTTAGCTTAATACTAAACCTAGATTACCTCCAGCTAAGTACTAGAGACAACTGTTTCTTAATAGAAAGCACAAAGTCTGAAATTCCCACTTCTCTAGTTTGACTCAATTTAAGAATGGCCATGCTAGCTCAAAGCAATGGACCATCCGGCCCAGTATCTTGTCTTCCGATCGTGACCAATGTCAGCTGCTTCAGAGGAAATGAGCAGAACAGGTCATTATCAAGTGATCCCATCCCCTGTTGCCCATTCCCAGCTTCTGGCAAACAGAGGTTAGGGATACTCGGAGTAAGGTGTTGCATCCCTGCCCATCCTGGCTAATAGCCATTGATGGACCTATTCTCCATAAACTTCTTTTTGGAACCCTGTTATAGTCCTGGCCTTCACAACATCCTCTACCAAGACGAGTTCAACAGGTTGACTGTGCGTTGTGTGAAGAAATACTTCCTTTTGTTTGTTTTAAACCTGCTGCCTATTAATTTCATTTGGTGACCCCTAGTTCTTGTGTTATGAGAAGGCATAAATAACTATTTACTTTCTCCACACCAGTCATTATTTTATAGACCTCAATCATATTCCCCCCCCCCCCCCCCCCGGTCATCTCTTTTCCAAGATGAATAGTCCCAATCTTATTAATGTCTCCTCATAGGATAACTCTCTCAAACCCCTAATCATTTTGATTGCCCCCTTTTTCTACCTTTTCCAATATATCTTTTTTGAAATGGGGCAACCAGCTCTACATGCCATATTCAAGATGGAGGTGTACCATGGATTTATAGAGAGGCAATGATATTTTCTGTCTTCTTATCCCTTTCCTAACAATTCCCAACATTGTTAGCTTTTTTGACTGCTGCTGCACACTGAGTGGATGGTTTGAGAACTATCCACAACAACTTCAAGATCTCTTTCTTGAGTGGTAACAGTTCATTTAGACCCCATCATTTAATATGTATAGTTGAGATTATGTTTTCTGATGTGCATTACTTTGCATTTATCAACATTGAATTTCATCTGCCATTTTGTTACAAAGTCACCCAGTTTTGTGATTTTCCTTTGTAATTCTTCACAGTGCTTTGGATTTAACCATCTTGAGTACTTTTCTATCATCTGCAAACTGTGCCACCTCACTGCTTACCCCTTTCTCTACATTTATTAATATGTTTAACAGTACTGATCCTAGCACAGACCCCTGGGGGACACCACTATTTACCTCTCTCCATTCTGAGAACTGACCATTTATTCCTACCCTTTGTGTCCTATCTTTTAACCAGTTCCTAATCCGGGAGAGGACTTTCCCTCTTACCCCAAGACATCTTACTTTGCTTAAGAGCCTTTGGTGAAGGATTTTGTCAAAGGTTTTCTGAAAATCTAAACAACTATATCCACTGGAACCCCCTCGTCCACATGCTTGTTGACCCCC